CTCGTACTGCGCTAGGGACCACCCGAGACTTCAATTCTCAAGTCTGTGGCGGCAAAGCCTTGGCCATCAGCGTTTTTGCCGGCTTTCCGAGGGTTCCATTCAGCTATGTGCCCATACCTCAGTACCCCTTGTCAACTTGGAACGAGATTTACATTTAGCCACACTCGATTGGCTTCGCTCCGGAGGGAGAAAGAATTTACCCTCACCACGTGGATGGTGTCTGGAAGAGTGCTCATGGTGTCTGGAAGAGTGCTCAGTTTGCAAAGAGATTGGCGAGGGGCTTTTGATCCAGAAAATGAAGCCGCCTTCGATTCGTGGAGAGATCAGGACATTCAATACGAATCGCGGAGCAAAGTCCTTGATTAGGTTCTATACCGTATCTTGGAAGTTTCCCGTGATGCCAGTATCAGACGACCAGCCATTTGACGACATCATTCTAGAAACCAAGTTCAAAGAGCTTCAAGGAAGGTTTGGACGCTTGCTTTGTCCACACAGAACTTTTAAGCAGCTGATGGAGCCCCTCGATCCTGATTCTGAACTCAACATCTTGGAAGGCCACCCAAATCCACCGTTAGGCGTAAGGAGCGCCTTTGAGTGGGCATTTAGTCGACCCCAGTGGCGAAGTCCTCAAGTTGCCGCAAGTGATCCTTGGTACGAAGGGTCATCGACGCTGCGTAACGGTCGGGCCTACTCAACAATATGCCCTATTTGTGATGCACGCTTTGAATGGAGTTTAGAGAGAGACACCATCTATTTGACGAGAAGCGGCGGAGAGTTCACTCCCAAAGTCAACGACATTTACGGTTGGAAGGATGAGGCCTACGGTTTAAATGGCATACTCGCTTCGGAACCAACTTCCTACGGGGCAGACAGTGACAGTGAGGCAAAATGTATACTTTGGTGCGATGAAAAAGCCTGTAAGAACGGGAGGAACATGAGCTGCTATTTACAACAGCTTTCTTTATACATACAGTAATATAATTACTTCTTTAACTAGTTAAGTAAAACCTAAAGGTGAGGTGTTTAAATAAAATATTACTACAGTATCAGGCCAAAGTTTAACCCCCTGTCAGGTATCTTCACCCGTGCTTTTCGAGATTATATCAGCAGCATTACTTTCGAGATTCTTGTGCACGTCGAACATAAATTAGCTATTAAGAGTCACTACTCTACCCTAGCCAGACCCACACTACCTAGTAAGGAGTTTAAACTTACCCTTATAGACTAAGTATATTTTGTTATAATAAAAGTTTATAAAATGTAAGCTAATAATTATTAATATTAAATAAATCTTAATTTCTAAATAGATTATTTAAAATAAAGGCTAATATATAATAACTATCTAAAACTAACTGATTTTAATAATAAATAAATAAATAAATATAAAGAAATAACTTTAACGTATATAATAAGCGAACTAGACAGATAAGCGAGCTAAATACGTTCTTATTACACTTTAAAAATCGGTTTTTTAATTATTTACTAAGAATTTAGATTTTCAATAAAAATAATAAAAGAAATTTTGGATTTAATTTAATTATTATTAAAAGAGTTAAGATTTATAAAGCGCAAAAATCTAGATTTTTATAAATCTTAAATAGCACCCGGCTTATAGAGGGTACCTAAGGGTCTATTTAAGATTTATAAAGAGCAAGGGCCTAGGATTTATAAATCTCGAATGGGCCTCTAGGCCAGAGGCTTTCTATTAGATTTAGGGTTACTTAAAAACCTCTTAAAAATTTAAATTAAGTCTTAAACCGTTTATTAAAAACGTAAAACTTTAATAAAATATAAGTAGAAAATTGTAGTTATATATAATATAAATAATATTAATAATACTTTTAATACTTAAATACTTTATTAATTATTTTTTATAAACTTTTAAATATTTTAAAACTATTTGTTTTTTAATATATAATTAAAGAGTACTTTTTTTATATTTATTAAAAAAGTATTTAACTTACGTATTTACTTAGCTTACTTATTAAATATATTAATATATAATAATAAGAATAATATAACCTTTATAAATAAATCTCGGAGATTTTCCTATATAATCTTTATTAATAATAATATAAAATTTATAGCAAAACCTCGGGGATTTCTCTATATAATACTTACAATTAATAATATAGAATTATAATTAAATCTTAAGAATTTCTTTAGTTATATAATTCTTATAAATAACTAGATAAAATTTATAATAAGATTTTAAAGACTTTTTTAGATAATTAATATAAATAATAATCTGAACTTAATAATAAAAATTTTATAATACCATAAAGAGATTATTAACTTTATTAACTTTGTTAGCTTTATTAATATATATATTACGGGCATATTGTATTACCCGTGAAATCTCCGGCTAGATCAAGCTAAGAGCCGGCTCAAAAACTGGCAGTGCCTTCCATGTTTATTACAAGAGGTTGTCTCCATTTTTGTTAGAAGGCACGGACAACCCAATGGAAGGTAGGTAGGTCAAAAGCCTTCGATAGGGAAACTGCCCGTTGCGACTCTTATCTAAATGATTCTTGGGGACATCCTTGGAACAGCACCCAGAGTCTCACTCTTCTTGTTCTCGAACCTCTATCGACATACCCAGACCTATCGCCACAACATCCTATCACGTATTGTTTCCTATCGCATGCAACGCCAAACACTCTATACGCTCTTTGTTCACCACAAGAACTCCCAATGCCCGTTGTTGATCACCGGACATCCTACGGACTACCGAGACGATTTACTATCTACAACCCCCCTAAGCTTTGTCGCTCCAACGCAGCCAAGAATGCAGCTAGTTACCAAGTTGCTTATTCCCGGAGCATTCTCCATCCAGATTGCATACGCCTTTCCTGTCAGTATCAACGGCACCTTCTGCATACCTGTGCAGTCGTCGATAGAGATACCTCCAGAGTAAGAACCAAGAAAAGCCACGGAGTTAATAAGATATCGCATTGTTTAACATCCATCTAACAATCATTGGCATAGATTGGCAACTCTGTGGACAACGTACCCTCAAGAAGGCCTGAACCGGCAAGGCAATTCGATCTACCGGACCGAAGACTATTCTCTAGAAAATCCGCTTTTCGAAGATATAAGACAGCGCGTTCAACAGTTGGAGTTCCAAAACACGAAGACCGACTAGAAGGAGTATCTGAAAACGCTCGCCCCCATCGCGACAATCGTGGTAAACCTGGTTACAAACGATTGGGTACGTGGGAAGGTCAAGAAGTGTATCAGCAGGATACGAAAGTCATCGAAAAACAAGGAACAAAGCGCCGAAGAGAGGCTGGACATTATACAAAGTAATGTCAATCAACTGGCCCAAGAAATCACGAAGCTACAGCGAGACAAAGTAGACGCAGAAGCCTTCCAAGAAGCCCTACACGAAAGTAAGAGGGTTCTTGCAAAAAGGCCAACGCGTTCCCAAATGAGATTGTATGGACTGTCGATTAAATACCGCTTGAGGTATTGGAGAAAGTCTAGCCAGAAGGAGCTCAGATATTTGGAACAGAGAACAAGGGAGACGGTGAAGCGATCTGATCGAAAGATAAAACGCATACAGGCAAAGATAGCGGGTCTGAGCAAACTGCAGGACAGTCTGAAAATGACTGAGGGCATGTGTTGTTCTCATGCAAGCGAGGGCTCCTAAATAGAACCAGGATTAGTAATAGCGTAGTGCTTTCAATTAGATTTCTAAAGCAAATTCACTTCCGTCGGTCTTCTCCAGGCTTTCTCCACGTAATCCTGAGGCGTAATCGCAGAGAATCCACGGTGAAAAGAGAAGCAACAGGGCCCTCCCCAGAACAAAAGCGGCGCTCCCACTGGAAAAACGCCCCGCCGTTCACGACGATGGGACGCCAGCCAATGAGATTTCGCCAATGACACAACAGCCTTTCGCTGCCTCAACACCAGCGAACAAGGCATCAAGGAAATATCATGCCCTCACGAATATACCGGTCTTCACCAAGGACTGTGCAGTCCATGACCCACAATTAAAAATCCGCGACACCGCCCACGGCAGCCAGGCTCTTCTCCTGCCAATTCTTTTTCATCACCCACGTTTCCTTGTTTACACTCCTCCAACCCAACACACTCAACCTACACACACACACATTACACTACTATGATTCCGTGTTTTCGCCATAGAAACATAAACCTTCCCTCGCTGAAGACTCATGTCTTCGCCGAGGATCTTTTACCTTGTCCCGAATATCACAGATAACCACCGATCGCGCGATTACCTTTTCAGAAAGCATTGCTATTCAGCATACCAAGCCGGCCGTCAACCTAACGATCTACGTTTTGACGGCTATTTCAGAGCTATTTGCATCTACAGCGGCGAGAAATCGTTGAACAAGACTCTCAAGTCCGGCAAGAAGGTGTATCAGACCCTTCTTCAGTATCCAGACCTTGCGCGGCGTCTTCGCGACCTAGCGATTACGAAAGGATATCTGAGGCCGCAAGAAAATACTTTTCCAACGACTATCTTCTGGAATCAAGCAACATTTTCCCAAACAACCGACGAGGGAGAGGCTAGAATGATATTCCGCCTAAACCCACAGCCGCCGGTTGCTCGACACAACATTCCCTTCGCCGAGGATTGGCCCAAGTGTCCCGACCGTTGGATTCCTGCTCCAGTGCCGAAAGACTCCCAAAGCTCTCCCCGCGATTTCACCGCCGAGGATTCCGACGCTCAAGACAGCGACTCTGAAGCTTCCGAATCCACTGACTCAGACGGAGAATCTTCGATCATGCCGTCCGGCAGTCAGCCTCGCAGCTCTACTGGGCAATTCGCACCAGCTTCTAGCGGTCGCAAATCGAAAAACCCCTCTACGCCGGCTTCGCGTACTCCTCGCACCACCTCCACCGTCAATACTACCCTCGAGCGCGAGCTGACTGACCAGATCTATCACAACTAGAAGTATGTCAAGGTTTCTCACAATCTGACCACCCGGCACGTCCGCGGCAAGCTCGACGCCGAAAAGTTCAGTGAAGCCATGACCACCACTTTCATCGAATTCCCCGATGCTTACAAGCTCCTCAAAGAAGCATTGGACGCTGCTTTTCCCGATGTCGCCATCAGTGGTTGGGAGATTGCCCTTCGCTTGATTAACGAAGCCGAGACGGAGACCCGTGGTTCCACCGCTAAAAAGCATACCGCTATCGACATCTCAGATGACGAGGAGCCTGAAGAGACCCCTACCAAGCGAGCCCGCCGAATCCTGTTTAAGGACGAAATCGCCGCCCGCGCCGCGTCCGCGAACGCGTCGTCCTCCGCCGCGAATACTCCGACCAACACCGGCATTATCTTCGCCGCCTCCCAGAGCAAGATCGACCGCCTGACGATCGACAGGACTTACTACAAGTACCTTTCAGAGAAGATGCACTCGATTTTGCCAGAGATCGGTCCGTTTGAAGTCATCAATTGGGGCTCTGGCCTCCATGCCTTCACTTACGAGAATGAAGGATTCATCGATGTCCCACGCGTTGTCGCCGTGATCCGGGCTATTGTCGGCGCGTTGATCGAGAACGACGAACCCATGGGTCGTCTCCCCCTCAACCAGATCTCGTACAATCTCAAGATTGCGGTTGTCACCGGAATCTTCACGAAGTCCGACTCGACCGCCCGCAAAGGTTGGGCCACGGTTCACGAGAATCCGCTTGTTGACGCAACCAAGTCGCGCAGCGCTGACGACATTTGCCTCACTGCGGGTGCCGCCTACATGTACGCACAGGAGCACCGCTACGCCCAGCTCTTTGCTCTGGGAAAAGACGGACTCGTGGAGTACATCAACAACCAGAATATCACCCTCGCGCACATCGGCGCGATCCTCGACGTCGCCAACATTGACGGCTTCGACGACGCCGCTGAGGCAGTACAGACAGTCAACTTGTGCCTTGGCTAAACGCGCGCTGAGATGAGGTGGGATGGTGACGGAGGAACAGGAATGGCTATTGCTAGGAACCGACCATACCAAGTGGCAGGCAGGTCGAGAATACAGGTTTTCGGTTTATCATGCACTTTGTTCTCTTTGTGATTTCTATGATTTGCTACTCGTGATCTATTAAGTGTCTTGACATGCTTCTCAACGATTTTAGGAAATCATTAGAAGGGATATACATACCTATATCGCGGTGGCCTTGCGGAGATATATTTGACCAGTCTTCACTATAGTCGCTATAGATTTCGTGGGCGAAATAGTTTATACTTACGGGGGGTAATTATTGGAACTTACCCATAATAACCTCGAGATTTCACTAGGATTTCTCAGTAAAAGTAAATGAAAATAATAATAATAATATTAATAATAATATTAATAATAATATTATAATAATAATAATAATTAAAGTTACTCATAATTATAATAATAATAATTATTAAAAAGTTATAGTAAAAAGAATGATTCTATTTAAAGTTATTATTTAAATAAGTTCTTAATTTATAAGAAATATAAATAAATATTAAGTTAAGTAGTTATTCGAGTACTAATTTAATAATTAATAAATCTATTTAAATTCTAGTAGTGGATTAATTTACTAAATAGAATAAGACTTAATAGATTAAGAATAGATATAAAAAGAAAACTATAAAATATATTTATTATAAATTATTTATTATAAATTCGCATATTAACTTATAGTCTTAATCTTTTTTATAGAGCGATTATTTATTTAATTATTTATCAACAAATTTAAGAAGTAAATTGAGGATATGTTAATTTACTCAATAAGATAAGAAGTAATTATCAAGTACTATTTGGAAATGTTCTCTTAAGCTCTATCTACTTCTCTGCTCGCTAGGGTGGACTTTAACAAGCCGCCTGCCTTTAGTGACCACCACAACGCAAGTTCTTTTCCAGGCGTACGATCACGGTGCCTAAACGTCCTACCTCCAGCTTGCTGCGGTACAAATTCCAGTGTTTTTCCCTTCGAGAACTGTTTGATGTGTTCTACGCATCGATCTATCGACTTCTCAAGACACTTGGTGTACAACGTATCCTCGTTATCTTCGGGGTCAATGTCCGGAAACACCCTGTCGAGCACATCACCCCCATCAAGCTCTGGTGTCAGCTGATGCAGGGTCGACGCAACCTTGTCTACAGCCCCATCATACAATGCAAAGAAGACGCAGTGGTTGCCCTTGTACTCCGGCAAGTGGCCAGTGTGCATGTTGATCATCAGTCCCGCGCGTGCCATCAACTTCTTGCCAATGTACTTGGTCCCCGAGACAATAGTCAGTTCCGGCTGCCACTTCTCGGTAGCATCCCATACTGCGCGGCAGTTGACGCTATCAACCACCAGATCTGGCGCGGGCGAAACGTGGTCTGATGGCACAAGTTTGTCAAAGTGCGCCGCGCGTCGGACATCGTGACCGAAGAAGCCGCGTCTGAGGCCGTGGTACTGTTGCCAGCAAGCGTCGACAACACGGCCCTTGTTCATCAGCTGCCGTACTTGACCGTCGCTAGTCTCTTGAACACAACGGTAGCCAGGGAAGGCCTGGTCTAGGCGGTATCGCAGGTAGCGGTGCTGAGGACCGTCCGAGCAAACGAGGAGCAGCCTCAGCGGGGTCTTCAGAGCCTCGTTCGTTGCCAAGGCCGGGCTCGGGCTCGGGGTCCGAGATCTGTAGTTGATTGCGGGAGGCAATTTGCCACGATCTGGGTGGAAGAGAATGTGGACAGGATCATGCTCGCCCGAAAATGATCGTAGAATTGCGCGGGCCATGCCGGGCGCCTGAGCAAAGCCTCCCGTGTTGTTGCCACCGGTGATGATGAGCTGACCGCCGCCTGCTGTAGGGATTCTCTCAAAGACTCCGAGACCAGTAGGCGTGAACGGGCGGACACAGTACTTGCGATGTCCCCCAGGGTACATGGCATTCGGGCCACGGCTTTTTGCGACTGCATACCCTTCCGGGAAATAGATGCGCGCAACCTCTTCCAGCTCATCGTAGAGAGCCTTCATCTCGGGAGAGTCTGGGTTTGGACGGCCCAGGCCGACGTAGCCGTATGCGCCGCCAAAGACAAGGATATCTTCCCCAGTCTCGCGGTCTTTTGCCACAGTGATGTTAATATCCTCGACTTTGTGTCCCCTTCTATGGATTTTCATCGAGTTGCGCATCTTTGGGTCCAGATTGGGTATCTGCAGCCAGATACCTAGGACCCCCTGGATGAGATTTTCGCTGGCCGTTCCCTGGAGCAGTGCGCTTCCGGTCGTACCAGGACTCAAAATGAAGTGATCAGCCTTCAAGTCGCCGTTCTCTGATTTCAAAACCGTCACCTCACCGGCAGAGTTGCGCTGGATGGCCTGGACCTCGCAGTCCCAAATGAACTCAGCGCCGAGGTTGGAGATGGAATCGATCAACTTGCCCACGAATAAGTGAATGTTCACCGTAAAACCATCCACGATGATGCCTCCAGCAAGATGGTCTGCGGCAGCAGCGGGGCGGAAGACAGGATATGTCTCCAAGAACTTCTGGGGAGATGGTGCCTCCAGAAGAGCCCCAAGGTTTTGGTTGAGCCCAACCGATGCTTCCAAGGCCACATCCTCGACGTACAGGCGTATGATGTCTTCGTGAAGCCCGACATCCTCGAAGAGCTGAGACTCGTTCTTCATCAGCTCCCTCCAGAGCTTTCCTGATTCAACGTTGACCTCATGGATGTTTTTCTTGAAGTGTGCCGCCATCCAACCTGGAACACGCTCGAAAGCACTGACCCAGTCATTCTCTGCGGCGTTGAAATCCTCAGGAGACTTAACACTCCATCCACCTCCGCGAACGGTCTTACGGAAGATAGACTGCATGTCTTGGTAGATCTCGCTGTCCTGCTCGTTGTAGTTGTCCGCCTCGGTGTTTGTGAACATGCGGGCATTGTGGCCGCCGCTCGTGACTCCCAGTGCGGTCCAGTCTTTGAGCTGGCAAGCCCGAGGGTCGGGACCTTGGTCGACGACGCGAACTTTGTAACCGCGCTTGGCAAGGAGATGAGCGGCGATGAGGTTCATGATGCCGGCGCCGATCAGCAAAACGTTGATTTCGCTAGGTGAAGACCCCTTGGTCTCGATGTTGTCGTTGACGCGTTGAGTATCAGCTTCGGCACGGGTCCTGGCGTAAAGCATCTCTGCTTCACGAAGGACAGCTTCTTCCCAATCCTTCTTTGAGAGACCATCCACGTGCTCAGGGAAGGCGGCGATGTGGTACAAGCGGCCCCTAGCATGGTGTCTCAAACGAGTGATAGCTTCAACATCTCTCACGAGCAAGGACTTGGGGCTATGGCTAGACTGCTCCAACCACTGATCCATCAGATCACCAGTGACTTCTGGACCGTCGCAGATCCATACATCCACCTCATTTTGGTTGGACAAAGGGGCGGAAAGATCAGACTGGGGATCGTGTAAGCTGATGTAAGTGGACTTTTTCGTCCCGCCACGAATGGAAAGAGTAGTTGTGGTAACAAGAAACCGCATGATGTTTTTGCCTTCTCTCCGAACGAAAGCAGCCCGAGGGAAAGGGTCAAAGAAAGGAAGGAGAAGAGTTCGTGCTCGACTGGTTTGCTTGATTCAGCAGAACGCAAGCACTGGCATCCGGACCTACCTTTTTATAGAAAGTCCATGAAGCAACTACGGCAGACAGCCTTGCCACAGGAATTCGCCGGGGAAACTCTTCGAAGCTTCCCAACAGGTTCCGGATCACGACTTGGGTGCCTGGAGCGAGAGGAGGCTGTAGATGCACGACGTGGGGGACAAGTCGTCTCGTCAAATTTTCATATCACCCTTGAGATGACTGCAGCACCGCAGTCAAAGCACATGCAGAAGTACGGTGCCACCCTGAACTCCCGGCAAGGAATCCCAAGACATGTCGTGAGATGCTCTTGTGGCCAGATGTTGTGTCCTGCGGCGGATTTCCACCGACTTGCCGCTCGGCCTGACGAATCAAGTCTTGGGACTTGAGTGACTGCGACTCGACGATTATCATTTGTGGTCGAGTCAAAGTTAGCTAGAAGAAACCAACCGCTCTTCCCGAACCGTCACCTCCGTCAGCAGCTCGCTCAGTCGGACTGCTGTAACTAATGAATTGGATTGAGACATGCTTGACGTTGAAGTCCTACCGAGGCTTGGTGCGCGTGTAACAAAACTATACCCTACTAGCACCTATAGTAATTGTCAATCGTTCGGGGCAATTCGATGCTGTGTCGGAGTCTAGCCTCTAGGACTAGACATAAACCCTCCGAACAACCGACAAGGGCTCTTGTGTGGACTGCTTGTTGCTGCCTAGACGACGTCGAAATAGGTATAGTGGATCATGGGGATACAAAACATTCCCCTCATTTGTAATTCGCCTTGCTGCGGCAGAATTTTCAAGACATCCGTAGGACAGAAACACGGTCAGAGGTCCACGGCGAAATGCATAGTTCGCAAGGTTGGCAAACCAAATGTCCAATTGACTCTGAGCGAGGCTTGAGAACACAAAGCGTCCCCGGCGGAGCTCGGGGACTCCAGCTGCAAGAGGGAGGTGGGAAGTCATCACGCCCGCCCGGAAGATGGGGCCGGTGTTCATGGAATCGACTCAAGGGTCTTTTGCCAAGCAGTACAGTGGCGCGTTTGCGAACAAGGGTTCAGCTTACTGTCTGTGCAAATGAACTTCGACAGAAACTCAGAAAAGTGCAGACATAGAGGTTGAGGATGGTTCAACAAGGTTGACGAAGTGTTCTACTTTAGGTATGTCATTACGTACAAGATTTTGGTTGCTTACTGGCTTCGCCGCTTCACGTGGGTGGTTCTATTGGCCGCTTTGCGAATTGATGCCGCATACGGCATTCCGGATGGATCTTGTGAGATTGCGCCTTATATCTGACAGGATACGCGACCTAGGCTGGCCGGCGAGCTAATGCACACCGTTAGTGACGTGACGGGCCGACCCCTACTTCGCAGACCTTGCGGCTTCGCGGTTGCTGGACTCCTCTTTTTGCTTATTTCTTGTGTAAAACCCTGGTGTCCTACCTTTCAAGGACGACTTTCGTTGACTCTCTCTCATTGGTGAGGTTGGTCTGGGGGAAGGTTATCGTCAGAGTCAGGGGCCTTTGCCTTCCATCGCGTGGAGGTGAAAATTTTGCTATTTCTGCTTTTAGCTACTCTTGTACCAAGCAAAGTCCTTTCCCGCGATTGGAAGTGCCTTTGAGAAGGTTCTCGTCTTCCCCTCTCTTGTCGGCCTACATACAACATCTATCCAAGAACTCGAATCGAGACCATAGATTGCCAATTCCTTGCTGAATATCTGGCCCAGACAAGGATTCCCACAATTGCCCGCCTGCCCACCAGCATGGCAAATCCACAAGAAGTTGACCCGCCCGACTGGAGGGGACCAGATGACCCAGACTGTCCATACAACTGGCCGTTGTGGAAGCGCATCTACAGCACCAGTATTCCAGCTTTTCTTTGTGTTAACGTGTAAGCGCAACCCTCTCCGAAGACAACTCGAAGGCTCTGACTTAAATCTACTCGCCCAGGTCATTCGCCTCTTCCGTCTACACCTCTGGCGCCAACGATGTGTCGGAAAAGTTTGGAGTGTCACATACTGCGTCTCTTCTCGGCCTTTCCCTCTTCCTCTGGGCCCTCGGTCTTGGTGCCATCATAGCCGCACCCGTGAGTGAATACTATGGCCGCAGGATCGTCTATCTCAGCACCGTCCCAGTCTTTGGACTATTCATCCTGGGCTCGGGACTGGCACAGAACTTCACGACACTGATTGCGTGTCGCTTCTTCGCCGGCTTCTTTGGTAGTGCCGTTGTTTCCGTCGGTGGCGGGACGAACGCCGATCTATGGCCACCCGCACTGGCGGGGTTCGTCTATCCTTTCTACTTTGTATCTCCATTCCTCGGACCGGCTTTTGGTAAGAAATTATTTCGCTGTTCTCTTATGAATTCGTCTTTAACGGTCAAGTCTAGGGCCTGTTATCGGCGGCTTTCTGGCTGAGGAGAAGGACTTTCGGTGGCTTGAATGGGTCGTCCTCTTCATGGTGGCCTTCAACTATATCTATGCCCTTCCACAATTCGAGACATACAAGAAGACTATCCTCCAGAAACGTATGCGTGCTGAGAAGCAGTCCGATGCGCCTCAAGCTCATTCGCCAAAGGTCGCCCTCCCTTCGAGTGCAATCATCCAACGTATCGTCCTCAAACCTTTCAAGATGCTCTTTGTCGAGTCCATCGTGCTCTTCATGACCATCTATATGGCATTCAACTTCGCTGTCTTTTACAGCTTTTTTGCAGCCTTTCCCTACGTTTTTGGGGGCCACTACGGCTTCACCCCAGGGCAGCAAGGTCTCACTTTCATCTCTATCGCGCTAGGCTGCGTCATTGGCTTCTTAGCTGTGGTCTACATCGACCGCAAGACCTACCCTGCGCTGGAGGCGAAATATGGAGTCGGCGCGGTGCCCCCAGAGTATCGCCTCTACGGTGCTATGGTCGGCTGCGCGCTCAATCCGGCCAGCCTGTTCTGGTTCGGGTGGACAGCCGACAAGGGTGTCTACTGGCTCAGTCCAGTCATTGCGTCTGTGCCGTTTGCCGTGGGCAACATTATGGTCTATAGCAGCGGCGCGCTGTACATCATGAACTCCTATGGTTCGTTGCATGGCGCGAGCGCTCTCAGTGCTAACAGCCTTCTGAGGTATGCGGGCGGAGGTGCGTTTCCGCTGTTCACGGTGCAAATGTTCTCCTCCATGGGGATCGGGTGGGCGAGCAGTCTGTTAGGCTTTGTCTCGGTAGTTTTGGTGCCAGTACCATGGGTGCTATACAAGTACGGGAGCAGAATTAGGGCTCATAGTCAGTATATCACGATTAAGGAGCCAACGTCTGGCAACCAGACTTCGTTGGAGGAGATGACAAGCGAAGACACAGAGAGTTGATGACCCGGCGGTAATCGGGCGAAGAAAGCTTGGGAAATGATAGACTCGCGCCGAAGTGACACTAAGACAGCCGTAAAGCTCCAGGCTGTCAGGATGCATGATTCAAAATTAGAATGAGATGGGCAGCTTCAGTCAGCAACGGCCACATAACTAGCTTCCGGGAAGACATTCGCCTAGGAAGGGACCCGTAATCGTTAACGAATCCCTGTGAAAAAGCGTGATAAATTCGCGCCCCCACGATGGAGGCGATGTAATGTTGCCTATTGTGTCAGGCGGAAGCAGAATCGTGGAGCCAGTTTAGCCCTACGGCTGTCGAGTCAAGTCACCTGGGGGTTCCAGGTATCTCATCTCGAAGAGTAGATTTATAAGTCAGTGGCGCTTCTCACATGAGTTTGCCCTTGTGATAGACCATGTCACACTTCTTGACGCTTCAACTTCCTTGCAAAGACGAGTCATTTTCATTAAGCAAGCCATCGTAAGCACTGCATACAATGGGCTCCATTCCGACTCCTGACCCGGTCCGACTGGCCATTCTCGTTACAGATGAGCCACTGCCTAGCGTATCGGCCAAGCTAGGCCGCTTCGACACCATCTTCACGACACTTCTCAGAAATGCATGCGAAAGCCTCGACCCACCGCAGGCACTTGGGTCCCAGCTCGCGCTGACTTCGTACAACGTGGTGGCTGAAGACGGTGTGGATGCCGCTTACCCCGAGCCTGAGGATGTCGATGCCGTGCTCATCACGGGATCCCGGCATTCGGCTTACGCGGACGATGAATGGATTGTGAGGCTGACGGCCTTCACTCGGAGGCTTCTGGATGAGGGCCGTGTTCGCGTCATTGGTGTTTGCTTCGGGCACCAGATCGTTGCTCGCGCCCTTGGTGCACAGGTTGCCCGGTCCCCCGGAGGTTGGGAGCTGTCTGTCACGGAGCTGGAGTTGACAGACGAGGGCAAAAAGGTGTTTGGGACTGAGAGCCTGGTACGTCCATTCCCTCACTCAAATATGAATGTGGATGAAATCCGTTGTGTCCGCAAATCCCCGGATCCCAAGCTATGCTGACCATGGGGTATTGCAATCATCAGAGCATCTATCAGACACATCGCGATGCAGTTCTCGGCCTGCCTTCTGGTGTCACATTATTAGCCCACACCAAGCAATGCCCAATTCAAGCCCTATATGTCCCTCGGAGGTTCATCACAGTGCAGGGCCACCCTGAGTTCTCACCTTTCATGATGAGCGAGATGCTACAGATCCGCCATCAGGCCGGCATTATTCCGGAAGAGCCTTTCAATGACGCCATGTCAAGGTACTCGGATGCTCACGATGGTGTTTCCATTGGGCGAAGTTTTCTACGCTTCTTGAGGGAGTGATGGAAAATCTTTTCTATAAGCCAGTCGTATGTTAATCATACAACATCCACGTCTGCAGAGATCGTTTGGCACAGGGGCCTAGTGAGACGGACATGCTAGGCCGACGCAAGGTACAGGCTCGTTGCGGACATTCATAGAAATAATGAATTATGACTATAGTCGTTCATCCTACAAGCGAAAGGAAACATCCATCATTCGTATCGTGACTCTCTACAATCCTCGTATTATATACTCGTCCACTACTAATGACGAAACTCCTCCTTTGCCTATTCAAAGGCACTGGGAGTACCATTGATTTGCGACGGTGCAAGTGTACGGCGACACGCACTGCGTAGGACCAGTCCACCCTTGTCCTCCGCACTGCCCGTACTGCGGAGCCAGGTTCGTCACCGTAGCCGCGGGCGCGGAGCTAGTCGAAGTTCGGACCGTGGTCGAAGTAGTCAAGGTAGAAGATCTAGCAGAGGAAGTCGAGGAGGTCACAGCGGCCGTGGAGCTCGAAGCCCTACTAGTTGATGTCGGCGCGACAGTGGTCGCGCCACCACCGGAGGAAGCAATAGCGCCAGAGGCGTAAAATGCACCGCGTCCGTTGGTACCGACGTAGACCAGGTTCTCCTCGTTACCGGAGCCGGCAAGCTTGGCGCTGTCGATGGCGCCGAAGCTCTGAGTGCCCTGGAGGTCCGTCCAGGAGGCGCCAAGGTCGGCGCTGCCATAGAGTCTGCGGCCTGCGGAGCCGGTGCCGAAGGCGTAGAGGTTCCAGTTGGTACCGGAGCCCTTTCCGAGAGCGATCTTGTTCGTGTTGGTGAGGGCGGTGGAGACCTGGGTGAAGGTGACGCCGTAGTCGGTGCTGTGGAAGATTCCAACGTCGGTCGAGACCCAAACGTCGCCGGCCTTGGCCGGGTGGGCTTCGACGTGGCGGATTCCGGTGGCGGAGCCGAAAGAGCCGGAGGTGGTGAACGTTGCGCCGAGGTTAGTGGAGCGGTAGAAGCTGGAGCCGGAGGCGCCGTAGAAGACGGTGTTGTTCTTCTTGTCACTGGCGATGATAGCGCCGGCTGGTATGCTGGAGACGACGGCGAGGGAACCTTGGTTCTGGCTCCTCTGCACTCCGAGAGTTGCGGTCGACCAGAGAATCGTGTCGGCATCGGCAGAGTACGCGACTGTGCCGCCGTACTGCGTCGTGCCGGCGGCGTAGTTAATGTTCCAAGTGGCTCCGCCGTCTGAACTGACAGCCAATTGTTGGGTGCCTGCAGTGTTGCCGACGCGAACGACGTTGGCGACCTTGTTACCAGCGTAGTCGACGCCTACGGAGCTAGCCCACATGGGAGTAGTCCAGGTGGTCTGGGGTGATGTGTCGAGGTTGCTCTTGGCCTTGAATGTGAATCCGTTGTTGTCGTAGTTAGCAACCAACAGCTCTGAGCCTCCGGGAGCACTGGCGAGTTCTTGTATGGACATCTCCTCGATTCCATCTGCGAGAGACTGGATATTGACCTTAGCGCCTGTGTCCCAGTTGGTAAGGTCGTGGCCACCGAAAATGGTCAGACCAGTTCCCCACAGCCAGTGGTTTGAGTCGAGGGGATCGATCTCAAGGGATTCAATCATCCAACCCAAATCTTTGGTGTCAACGTCAAGGAAGTTGGTTTTGATCCAAGGAGCCTACTCTTTGTCAGCGCAAGAGCTCTTCCGGACACATGCATTTAATACGTTTTAGTCAAGCAATTTTGCACATACCTTGGGGCTGGTCTGAGCATAACTGATGTTCTGGTTGCCGTCGGTACCCCACGTCCAGATCTTCTTCCATGTCGCCCCAGAATCAGTTGATCTGAACAGTTGCGCATCCGGCCACCAGCTGTTAAGAGTCGCAACGACCAGGGTACCGGGCTTTTGCATATCAAGACCCAGTCCACCTTGATAAGATCAGCATGAGAGCTCTCACGGTCTGGCTTTACTGATGGGCTTGACGAGTCGGGCAAAATTAAGAACAGGAGCTTACCGAAACCAAAGTACAGGTCGGAGCCCGGCGCGACAGGGGTAATGTCCTTCCAAGTGTTGGCAGTGAGGTCGTATCTCCATACGGAACCTGAAGTACCGTCATAGGGACCAGTACCGTCCGAGTACGTGAGGTAGAGAGCCTATTTCTCCTCATTAAATGGCTGTCAGTCGTTCGGGGAGTGCTTCATCACCTACCTTCTCTGTGGGCTGAATCCTTCCCTTGTGAGGGAAGTATCTGCCAGGCTGGCCAGCAACTGCGGACCAAGTTGAACCGGCGTCGTTGGAGACATAAACGGATGAAGTCGTGTTCTCGGCAACGCCAACAAAGATCCTTGAAGTAGCCCCGCTGAGAGCGGCTGAAGTTGAGTCGAAAGTTACAAAGTTGATGCCCTGGATGTCGCCGCTGTACTCGTTGTCGGCAGGTCCAGCACGGAAGGTGCCAACTGCGGTGAAGGAGGAGACCTTGGAGAAGCTTGTGCCTGAGAAGTGATCGAGTGTCAATCATATGCGTATCGAACTAGATGTTTTTGAATGGACTTGCCTCCGTTGGTACTCTTGTAGAGTCCATTACCACTTCGGGCACCAAAGTAGATGATGTTAGAGTTCTTAGGGTCTACTGCAAGACGCTCGCCATTTCCTCTTCCAGGCATGTTGCCTCCGACCTATTCGGTTGTCAGTGCTTGCGATTGATGAAAGTGGAAGCAACTCTCACCTTGAAAGGCAAATCAGTGAAGGACCAGGTCGCGCCCTTGTCGGAGCTACGGGCAATTTGTCCATTATTTGGGTCCCTAGGATCTACGTCAATACAGTCAAGCATTTGAGAACGATGCAATGTGCATACCAGCTGTTGGTGTACATGCCGACGGCGATGAAGACCTTGTTCGGGTCCTGGGGATCCAGCGCAAGAGCATCGACACCCCACCGGTTCCAGTGAGAATCATCAGCAAAACCGTTGGCGTCGGTCACCGGAGTCCAAGAGTCATCGGCATTGAGGCGATACAGCCCGCCAATGTCGGTCCTAGCATACGCTACGCCCTTTGTTGTGGGATGGAATTGAATCGAGGGAACGAACCCTCCACCGCCGCCAATCTTGACATTCTTCCAGGTGAAAGCCGCCTGGAGCGGAGCCGCGAGGGCCGCCAGGAGGAGGTTGGCGTACTTCATCCTGAGACAAAGACTTCTTGTCTTTAAAGGACGACTTGTCGACGGATGAGAGGCGGGCAGTGAAGTCACCTCTGGATCTATACTGGCAGGTGATATAGGATCTTGTGGGGATGTAACAGAAAAGGAGCAAGATCGACGAGGGCGTGGTTCACGCCGGGGCTATAAATGAATGAGTGTCTCTTCCCCGTCAACATGCCGTCGGATCGCCGGCATCCTAAAGAAACGCATCGAGCCACAAGGCACACTGACAATAAGGTCGACATCAAGAAGCCGGGCAAGACCATCGTGACTCCGCGCCGGAAATGAGACGAGTCAAGACTACAGCTCCCCAAATTCCATCAATCAACTCTCCAAAGCCATGGCCAAGTCAAATGAGGTTGCGGCCCTAAGCTTCCCGACAAGCCGGCCGCACTACTCCCGTTTACCGTTGAAGGAAGGAAAGCTTCCGCTTGGAGGTCCACGAAAGAGGGGCCACCGG